TCTAAGCGACAATACATCGGCAGGGATGCTCCTGATCTCTTGCTTAGAGAAAGGAACAAGCCTATGAATGGTTTTCTATGAAAAACCTATCCATGAGATAGTACATCGATGGGGATGCTACCAGTCTCTTGTTTATAGTAAGGAACCTACAAATGGTTTTTTGCAAAAAATTTGTCTGTACATCGGCAGGGATGCAGTCGATCTTTTGTTTAAAGCAGGAAACGAACCTACGAATGGTTTTCTATGAAAAACTTTTATAAAGGACAGTACATTGGCAGGGATGCTGCCGATCTCTTACTTAGAGCAAGAAAAAAACCTACAAATGGGTTTGTACGAACAATTCGTCCATGAGACAGTACATCGGCAGAGATACTGTTGACCTCTTGCTTAAAGCAAGGAACAAATCTACGATGGTTTTTCATGAAAGACCTATCAGCGGAAAAGATGTTGCCCACATCTTTCTTAGAGCAAGGAACGTGCCTACAATATTTTTTACGAAGAACCTATCCAAAGGGCAGTTCGTCGATGATGCTGCTGATCTCTTGCATAAAAGCAATGAATAAACCTAAGATAATTTTCCCTTTTATAAAAAGGCCACATTAAAAGAAATAGACAAAAATTAGAATATAGAACGATAAATAAATCCATATTATAAATAAAAATCTCTAAAAACAACACTTAAAAAAAGAAAAAAAACAGAAGTTTTCTTCCAGTTTGCAGCATAGGGGTTCTCCTTATCGACTCTTCTAGCAGCTTCCTCATTGGGCTTCTCTAGAGCTTCAGGGCAAGGGTAAGGCATATTATTCATCAGGTTAGACCTCTCTGGAACCCGAGCTGGACGAACTGCGGCCATCCATCTGTCCTTGAAGAGAATGTTCTCTAGTTTGATGAACTGTTCTTTATAATTGGTCGTAGCCTCGTTGCAGCTACCCTTCTTCGTAGCCTTAATAGCAGCTTCAAATGATGTCTTGGACGCGTCAAGGTCCGTAGAGAACTTCTATCTCTCCTCTTTCAAAATGGATATCTCTGACTTTAGCATGACGTCCATCGTTTGAAGCTTCTTCTCTAGCTCTGCCGTCTTTCCCTCAAAAGCAGCCAGCCTAAGTTCTAGCTCCTTCATTTTCTCACCATGTTTGTACTTGGTGAGCTTCAGCTTGTCAACAGCCTTGATCAGCCTGTCATGGCGTTGCATAACCTCGTGAGAAGAAAAGAGACCCTACGAAAAGAACATGAAATTAGCAATAATAAACATTTCTAGGAAAGAAAAATGAAAAAAGCAAAGGAAGGTATTTACCACCAAAGAGAAATGCAGGGCTTGAGAAAAGATTGTTGCATCCGATTGTTCACCTAGGCGACTAGCATCAACTAGGAGAACAGAGCTGCGAACAATAGCAGTGGCCACTGCGGCACTCCCCATAGTAGTATCAGCATTTGTAAGCTGTCAATCTTCAGATATGGCATGAGAATGATCGGGGATTCGACGGAAACCACTTCAAAGGCAGTGATAGCAGAAGACACAACAGTAGCAATAAGAGAAGGGTTAGATCGGCTCTTCTTGTATACCTCTGCTGACTGATCAGATTGGCACTTTCCAGACCTCTGCTCAGAAATGAGGGGAGCAAAGCTCCCAGCAACAGCAGTGGCATGGGAAGGATGAGCATCATCAACCAACATGAGCGGCGATTGCTGAAGTCGATCAAATGTGGTTGAACCAAAAGCTGTCTGTGAAACGAAAGCCAACTCACCTTCTTTTTGGCACTTCCGAGCAGCAACGATCTCTAGGAAGTTCTTCAGTGGCATGTTATCGAAGACTCTGGTTTCAGAATCAGATGATTCTTCTTGGGGTTGCTCATCTTTGGCTGCTAGCTTTTCAATGTTCTCCCGAAAATGAAAAAGAACGTAGAAATCAAAGCCATCATCATCGCTAAGGGGGATACTATGGGTTGAGACCACAGTGCCATAGTATGGGATGTAAGAAAGAAGCACGTGAGCGGCAGACCTTAGCCTTGTTGCGCGGGAAGGTCCTTTATATGCCCAGACTTGTTGAAAGAGAAGAACGTAGACCTGATATTCTCACTCACTAGGGTGAGAAAAAACCTCTAACGCTGGGGGAAGATAAACAGAGCAAGAATATCAGTACAAATCCCATAAAAAATAAATTCATAAACAAGAAAAACAAGGCATCGACCTGGTAGACTTATGACCTTGGAGATAGGTCGAATCCTATCCGCTCCAAGGGAAAACTCCCAGTTGCCCTCCATTATCACAATTATATCATTGACACCCTTGCCAGAAGTAGAAATCATTTGAACTAACTATCGTTTCGCCGATTTGGGTTTGAAATAGAATTTCGCTCTCTCTGGTGGTTGGGACAAAATTGTAGTAGTATCTAATCTCATCAAGACCTAGGTTCACTCCCAAAATATTGTTTAGGGAAATTACCTCATGACTATCCTAAAGAAATTTGAGGCAAGTTGAGATGGGGGTACTGTTGGAGATAAAAAAGAATAACACTGAAAACAGAGGCAAAAAACAAGAAAACAGAGGCAAAGAAATATATAAAAACTGAACTGTTGAGTCCTCTCATTCAAATTTAAATACTGAAGCAAATGTGCCTATATATAGGCTTACAACCAAAACAACCAAACAGATTTTTATGTACCACTAAGGCACTAACTTAGACCACTACAGCCACTAGCATAATATCAGCAACAACTACCCAATTGACTAAACAAACTCAGTAAAATATGGACACTACTAACAACCTGAAAAGACCAAGTCAGACTTTGAATCATTCTTCAATAGGTACGCCATAGAAGTGCAGTACCTCCTTGAGTAGAGGGTGTAGAGGGAAATGGACTCCTCCCTCAACAATGTCAATTAATGGCCACAGAATCCGCTCCTTCGACACTTCAATGACATCATCATCGTCAATAGGAAGATGAACGATGATGTCATCAGGGATGTTATGAAGAGTTCGAAACTCCTAAATATTCTCTTCATAATCAAATAAATGCCTACGACGATTCATGGCGAATAGAAAAAAGAAAGAGTAACGACAAAAACAAATCACAAGAGAAAGAGAGAAGAAGAACTTATAGAGAAGAGTACATAGAAAACCTCAAAAGATGAAGAGAGAAAAAGACACGCTTGGGTCTCTGAAGGGAGTGCAAGCAAAGTGATGGAGAGCAAGGGATGCTTCCTCATATATATGTGTTTCGTTTGGTTGATGGATTTGAGGAGGGATTTGGAAAGCGAAATGAAAAAGGCAGATGAAATAGGAATAAAATATATCTTAATTTCACTTAATTTTACGCACTTTTTTTTTTTCTCTTTTCATTTCTAAATTCCTTCTCAAATCCTCCAATCAAATAAAGTGTTAATGTGTCAAAAACAAAACAACGCATAAAAGGACAATATGTCAAATGTCATCATTAAAGTCAAAATCAAAGGACGCATGTCATAAACAAGAAGTGATTCAACCAATCATCTGATCAGATTATTGTCTTTTACAACCTTCCCAGGTAATTGTGAAGGAATAAAATATTGGCCCAAGCCCAAATCAATTAGGCGGTGGGCCCAAAAGAAGGAGGCCAAATGAGCTTCTTAAAGAGCCTATTAGAAGTGACTAGCAGCAAGCTGGCACGTGACTACGAGCGTAGGAGACAGTCAAGCATATAAATATCCTTCTAGAAGAAGGATACATAGAATGAAAGAGAAGCGTCAGATTAAGTTTCATCCAATGATGGAAATATCAGACGACACGTCCAATCAACTTGATTCGACGAATACAGCGCTTTGGCAAGTTGGCCACTAGCATCTGACATAATCTAAGTCGTCCATAAGAGGATGGTCCAACGATCAAAGGCAAAAGCAATTTGGCCACTTGCTCGACCAGAGTTAGGTACAGGTAGAACCCTCATATCAAACATTGATTCAACAGATGGGATTCAAGTCCGGAAAACTATAAAGCAGGAGCAGGTGAAGTAAAGGGGACAGACCAGAGGTAATCTAAGAACCCTGTTTTAAATACAAATCATCTATGTTACACTTGAAAAAAATGATTGTAAAGTGTCCAAGAACATGCAGGTAGGGGGAGTGCATTGGAGACATGATCTCTTTTGGATACAAATTTTCCATACTGCATAAATTTTGAGAACCACTTGGGAATTGGCATATCACCAATTTCAAATATTAAAAAATTTATGTATTTAATGCTCTTGTAGGCCTTATTTCATACTAATCACAAAATGCTATATCTCTTCGGTTGGGCTCTGATCATAAGGTGCTGCAAGAGCAAAATTCTCCTGTAAATTCTCCTGTAGAAAAGGTATTATATATGATAGTGAAGTTTGGATTCAAATCCTCTCCATTTCATGCAATGGTTGTAAAAGATCATCAACAAATATTTATTTGAAATTCAAAGATAGTTAAAGTGAGCTTTAAAATTTATCATGACTTGGCAGCTATAGCTGGAAGATTTTGAGTTTTTATGATGTTATTTCCTTGTAAAATGAAATGATACCTCTTGTCTATTATGCAATTGAGATGATCAAACTATATGAAAACTAGTGGGAGACCAAATTCAATTTGTCATAATTTTAAAATGATATTACAATTATTGACACGTTCGTGTTTGAAGACAAATAAATGTATCTAACCAAATTCAAAAAACAAAAGGAAAGAAAGAAAGAAAATTATGTTCTTACAAAAAAACCAAAAAAAAATAAAAATCATGCAAAAAACTTGATAATAATTATGTTACAATGCCATTATTATAAATAAATTCATCTTCAATGGTATTTTGTTTTGAAATGAAAGAATCAAAACGAACCACATCATTATATATGAAAATTATGTATTTTTTATTTGTATAGCATTATTCAATAAATAAATAACCAGTACAACCTTGTATTGAGCAAAACCAATAATACAATTACCCTTTTTTAAGCAGAGCTATCCTGGTCAAAAAAGATTTCAAGATGATGTAACAGTACACGCAAGACAATTTATCTTCAGCTTGGTAATATTAATTTCCAAGCCTTTTGGCAATCAAAATGAGCCAGAAAACTCCACACAATGGTCTAATTACAGTTTAGTAGTGTCTATAACCCAATACAACATAGCTTACGATTGTTGATAGAACCATGAGCATTGAAAACAACATAAAAATAAAAGAAAGATAAAAACAGACGGCCGAGGAGCACCGGATCCGTTACCAACACAACAACAACAAAAAAACAAAAAATTGAAAAAAAAAGAGAAAATTTCTCAATAATGTATTGACAAAGACAGCCTATCCTGAGTGGGTTTCAGTTGGGCCCCCCCCGCTACTCTTAACGATCTATTTTTATTTGTGCGGGTGACGCTCCCCAACTTGAACTACCTTCAAATTTCAGCTTAGCAGCTTTCCTCAAAAACAATACACAAACAGAATTGCACTCCCAAGTGCATGATGAAGTAACACCGTTTTAAGATTTACAGTGGGAGAGAGGGTGTTGTGAACCCCGTAGCACCGCTAATAATGCAAGAGCCTCTCTGTGTCAACTATTAAAATGCAGGCCTTCAATACCCTTGAGTGTAGATTCAAAGTTCTTTACATTACTGGTGTTTCTACTAGAAGAAGTGCGTTTCTGATCTGCTGTTGATAAAACTGAGGAACTTTGGGCTGCGCTAGAAATTTTCCGTACAGGTCCTGGGCTCACATCTGTCGAACGGACATGGGAGGGATCAGCTTCACTTCCAACCATCGCGGGGTCACGACTACTGGAGACTGCAGGTCGCCTTGTAGATCCACTTGATCGCAAAAAATTAGAGCCAGATAACTGCACCCACGCAATATTTCAAGAAACCCCAACAAAAACAAAAACAAAAAAAGAAAAGAAAAGGCACCACTATCATAATTCCAGGAAAATTGCAGGAGTATGTTCCTATGCATTAGATAATACTTTCAACCAGATTCAATGAGTGAAATTTCCACCTTATTAGAGGCGACTCAAGCCTTTCTAAGGCCTAAGGCAAAATATCTAATTGAGGCCCTTCATAAATTTTTACATTGTAATTTTTTATTTAAAATTTATTTAAATGCAAAACTACTAATTGAATTTTTATATTCACATTTTGATAACACATCATTCATAGGAAGAAATACAATTTATATTTTTGAATTGACCGTAGCTAATGCAACAATACTATACACATAGAATCACCCTTAAAACTAATCATGCAATCATGTGTTGTAAGAACTTTTGTGGCTGGTTCTATTTTTGAGAAAGAGATATAATGATTAGGGTTTTTTGTTTTCACCAAGACAGATGTACAATCATGAACAACTTTTGTTTGCATAATGACAAAATTTTTCTAAGTAATTAACAATTTATTTTATAGCATTTCATTTTCTTTTTCCCTTTTTTATTTTGCTGAGAGCAGAGTATAATGTTATTGATTAGGGTCTTTTGTTTTCACCAAGACAGATGTACAACCAAGAACAACATTTGTTTGTATAATGACAGAACTTTTCTAAGTATTAACAATTTATTTTATAACATTTCAGTTTCTTTTTCCCTCTTTTATTTTGATGAGAGCAGAGTATAATGTTATTGATTAGAGGTATAATAATGATAAGGTAGTTTGTTTTGATAGATATGAAAATAATTTAATGTGAGATCTTTTGCCTAATTTCACTATTTTTTAAATTTTCTTTTTACCCTTTTTTTTTTTTATTTGACATATACAGTGTATATCAAGGTATTAAAAAAAAAATGAGGCCCTCTTTTGTGCAGGGCCTTGGACTAGCACCAGAATTGCCTTGGTCAAGCCACTACTGCCACTTATTGGGCTATAAATGAAATTTCGAACTGTAGAACATCATTGAGCACATGTGAGCTGTTAACCCAAAGACAATTTCACAGCTATACCATTAAAAACACATAGAAGGGGCAACCATAGATCCGTTTCTTGTTTCTTAGATTAGCTACCTTCCAACATGGGAACACCCATAGAAAAACATGAGAGCAAGAGAGATAGCAAAGAACTTCAGAATCCCTATTGCAAGGGAGTTGGGTGAGAAAAAAAGAAGTGAAGAAGGTATTTACAATAGTCTACGGATAACAGGAAGGTATGAGGGAACAAAAATGACAACTATGCAAATAACTATAAATAAACAATAAAGAACACCCAGAACATGAATATAATAAACCTAGTCAAACTACAATATTAAATAATACCTCTGTATCAGTCCCAAAATAGAATTGAATTAAGAATGATCCCTACTCCCGTTTTGCAATAATTCAGGAGTTGTAAACCAAATCAACACCGCAGAAAATGAGTTCTAGACTTTGAAATTGTAGAAATCATTATTGTGATATTGTCTCATGTTACCATTTTCCATGACGCAAAACAAACACACTACTAGAAAATGCTTTGGGTTAATTCATGAGTCCTCTTAACTTAAGGCAATAATCGAAGTTTAAACAGTCAAGTAAACAAGGTCCTTCTTCCATTTATGTGCAAGGCATCCCCCAATGCTGGTTCTCATTAATTGCAAGTTAAACCCAAGTTTATGCCTTATTTGCTCAAAGCGACTGCCCGAAGACTCGCATCAAATTATCATGCTTACACCTAATCTTTTGCCATTGCACTAAGCTAAAATCCCCTACTGTGTCTTTACGTGTGCAATATCCATATACAACCAAAGCAATTTTACAGAAAGATATCGACTGTTTGAAAGTTAACCAAAATCAACTCTCACTAATTCTTTCCAAAGCTTCACCCAATAGATCAAACTTCAAATGGGTTCCCTAAAGCATCAAACATTGGCTCTAGTCCACCCAAGTCAATTGGACCAGTGGGAGCAAAAACTGTATCCTCATTTCAATGGTTCCAGTACAAAGTAACTGTAGAATGACAACAATATTAAGGATAAATACGTATATGGGTTTGTGGGCTGGTTTCACACTTAACCCTGTTAATATTTAAAAAAAAATCATTATTATATCAAAGCATTATAAAATGCACAAATACACTTGAATTTTTAAGACTATAAAGTCTACTAAGTCGGTCATTTTGTCTTACAAAGTTTCAGGCCTAAATGAAACAATCTTTCTGACTAGGTTGGACTCAACACACCTAAACCAACTCATTTTGCGTACACCCCAACAATGATTATTTAATTCAAACAGGATGGATTGGAAAATGTTTGTTAATAGTATCTCTGATATCCAAGTAATGACATGCATATATTTTAAGCAGAAGTCAAACTGTAACCACACTGGTAATAAAAATAGTGTATGGACCATCCCAGGTAATTCCACAGAAACTGCTTTCGATAAAATAAAAACAAAACAACAATGATTGAGACCCCCATTTTCGGGGACCCCCACTACCCCCTTTGGATCTCAACCAATGATGGTGTGGGCCCCACACATGCATGAGTGGTTGAGATCCAAAGGGGACTGTGGGGGTCACCAAAAAAAGGGAGTCCCAAGCATTTTTCAAAACAAAAACAAAATAATTGAACTCACCATAGGGTCTTTGGTTGATGATGACTCATTTGGAACCGGACTTTTTTGTTTAGACAAGCTTCCCGCATTTACAGGTAGTCCGGTGTTTCTACTACGAGAGAGATTTGCTGAAGACCAACCAATAACCCTACCATCTTCACCTCCTACAACACATTCATTGTATAAGCATATTAAGCTTTAACTACATAAAACACAAACCAAATTTATGGAATAAAATCAAAACTTCATTACGAAGAAATGCAGAGGCCCCAAATGAACTCAATCACAAATTATTACCAAAATTGGTGCAAGATCAAAATATCCATGCAACACAGACCAAAATGACATGTAAAGAAACAGTGAAGTAAGCTTCAAGTACAAAACCAAAAACAATTGAATGTAGAATAAGAAAGGTAAAAGAAACAGTGAAGTGTTCTTCAAGTACAAAACTAAAAACAATTGAATGTAGAATAAGAAACATAGTATCTCCAAGAAAGTCTTGCAAAAATCCGGGGCAGAAAATGCATAACTACCTGCTTGTCTATCAATGTTGGCAACTGCAGGCGGCATCCCAGAACTTGTTCCAGCAGCCTGTCCAACAGATCAATTTAGTACATAAAGACAACATTAGGGTTTGCCTGATGGAAATATTTGGTATAGCTTTCAATCTCCATTTTTTAACTTGTTGCTAATTAATTGGCAATCTAAAAAATAAGGGAAAAAACAAAACTCAATTGTAGTATGTCACTTACAAGAGCACGAGAGGGTGGATTGGCAAGCTGTGATTGCTGATATTTCAAAATAGTCCAATCGAATACATAATCAAACTGAAAGCCTGCAGCAAGAAGAAAGACACACTTCACAGTATTACACGCTATTAGTTAGAAGACAGTTTGATATCGAGAACACAACTACTGACATATGGCACCTTGCAAATCTAAGAACTATATATTGAAAAGAACAAAACTCATACCTTCCCGAATAAAAAGATCTCGAAAGATTCTCTTCAGATAAGCATAATCTGGTTTGTCGTCAAACCTCAGCGATCGACAATAATGGAAGTATGATGCAAATTCTGTGGGATAACCCCGACACAAGGCCTAATAAAACAGCAGTGAACTATCGGGTAAGTTTTACAATGCAGAACCAATATCATAGGCATATGAACACCAGTAAAACAAGAATTACCTCAATTGAGGTAGAAACTTTCTTTTCACTGATCTTCTCATACTTTTGTTTCTTATTTCCTGCTTTTAGACCTTGCCAAGGGAGACTACAAATATATATGGACATAACTAAGCAATTACCCGATAGAAGAACAAAAAAAAAAAATCAAAGATGGGCAGGAATGTTTACCTTCCTCTTAAGAAGTACATAAGAACATATCCAAGTGATTCTAAATCATCCCTCCGGCTTTGTTCTATGCAGTTTAAAAGCAACATGGTGAGGGAAGACCACCAGCCTCAAGATCAATGCTTAATCATAAAAGTCATGTTTGTTAACAAAGAATATGACATCTAAATTAAAATGTCAATAAGCGTACCAATGCCAAGGTGAGTATTCATGCTTGCATATCTTGCCGTACCCGTCAAATTCTTATTTTCTCTGCATTTTATATAATGACATCATATTTAAAAAGAAAATAACAATAATAACAGCTAACTTTTAACTAAACTAATATACTAATAGTTAAATTCTATCTAAACTGAATCCAACAAGGGCAATAATATAAAAAGCCTAGGAGGAAGAAAAAAATGCAGGTACATCATGATGCTAGACGTATCAGGTAGGATCTGAGCCAATGTAACACATCAACAGTTCAGAAAAGGTTACCTATAAGGAATGTGTTGATGGGTTGAGGAGTCTCTGTACTTCTTCGCCAGACCAAAGTCAATTACGTAAACCTGTTTACAATTGAATGACAAACTAATGAACTTATGCCGATCACGGAACCAATAACTAACAAGAGGAAACAATATTTCAATACAAAACCTGATTTGCTCGCCTCCCTAAACCCATAAGGAAATTGTCTGGCTTAATATCTCGATGCAGGAATGACTTGGAATGAACAAATTCAACCCGATTGATCTGAAATGAATATGGTTTCCAGATGGAAATTACACAAAATTTTGTTTATTGCTATAAAAACTTGGTGCAATAAAAGAAATCTTACCATCTGATCTGCAAGCATAAGAACAGTCTTTAACGACAGCTTCCTACTACAGAAGTTAAATAAGTCTTCCAGACTAGGCCCCAGTAAATCCATCACAAGAACATTATAGTCTCCTTCAACTCCAAACCATCTCACATTTGGAATTCCAGCTGCCATATTCATTCAGTGGCGGGTTAATAACAAATTTTAAGCATTACATCAACAGTTAGTGAAGGAAAGAATTTGGGGATTTAGGGAAGTTCATTACTTCCTCCCGTTAAAATTTTATACAACTTGGATTCATACAGCAACTGAGGATGCTTTGTCTTAACATTTTCCTGATATAAGAAACAGTACCAAACAATTGTTAATTTTAGGGTATTCACTGCATTATTAAAATAATAATAAATCAAACCAGAGATAAATTCAATCAAATAATATACTACCAATGAAATTGCATACATCATCAACATTAGTGATAGTAGTAATCTACATTTAAGCTATATCATAAAAATGTGATCTTGCACAATAAAAGCCAATTAAAGTTGGGTAATGTTATAATAGTATTAAATGTGGGTGCCCATTAACTGATAAACCTTTGATGTGTGCCCAGAGTTGCTATTATTCATTCAGTGAAGTTATAATGTTTTGGTACCTAATAGATTGCGAGACAAAAACATCAGATTTCCAATTTGAAATTAGCAAATTCATAATAAAAATATATAAGCCGATTGCAATGGAAGAGAAATTCAATATTTTAAAGCACAAACACGGACCACAATTACGATGTGAAGAAACAAAGAAACATGCGAAATTATGAGATAAAATCAAAGCACTTACAAGCTTGATAGCAACTTCTTCGCTTGTCTGAATATTGGTACCTGAAAAATTGTAATAACGAGAATAAAATTTAGAAACAAAATTAAACACAGTTTCACCAAACCCAGAAAAACAGAATCGGGACGAACGAACCTAGATAGATCTCTCCGAATGAGCCGCTACCGATCTTCCGACCGAGCCGGAACTTATTACCGACACGAGGCTCCATCAACGAAAAGCTCTCAAAATCAACCACCTGACGAAACCCTAGCTATCAATTCCCAAATTTTTATACAAAAATAATTAAAAATTAAAAATAATAATACAATGGACCAAACCCTTGAGCGAACAGCCGAATCCAAGGATCAGAAATCAAGGATCAGACAACTAGGGTTTAGAGAAGCGGTCTCTCTATCTTGGAGTTTAATGGAGTTTTAGGTTGAAAAGTTACGGATAGAGAGAGAGAGAGAGAGAGAGAGAAGAAAAGGTAAGCAGGCATCATGATAGATAATATATCACCACTCCAAGCGCGGTTTGATCCAATCGAAGCAGACTTTTCACACACACGCACCTTTTTTTTTTTTTTTTTAACATTAAACATCTTCTGAACGGCGTCGTGTTGATTTATCCCCATTCATTTCAAATTTAAGAGAAGACTTGATTGACCCTCCAAATAAGAGAAGACTTGATTGACCCTCCAAATATAAAGGAGATAATTTTCATGATATTTTATTATTTGGTTTGACTTTTTTGAATTTATTTTTTTTTAAATTAAATTTTTTATTTTTTGTTTTTTGTGAAAAAAAATTTAAAAAGTTTACTAAATATAAAAATATTTTAAAAATTATGAAAATTCAACATATTTTTTATATTCTTGTGTATTTATTGATTTTTATAAATATTTTTACTTTTTAGATACATTTAGGGGTTGTTTGGGGTGTCCTAAATAAGTGTACTTTTTGTCTTTTTGGAGTAAAAAATTGAGGTTAAAAATATGGATGTTTGAGTTAACTTTTTGACTTTTTATAGAAAAATGTGTAATAAAAAATTGTAAAAATTGATTTGTAGGGAAAAATTCGAATTGGGAGTTGTACAGCCGTAATTATTGACTTTTGGTGAATAGTGTTAACTTTTTAACTTTTTGAGTAACTTTTTGACTTTTTTACTTTTTTACTTTTTTACAAGTTCCCAAACTTGGCCAAAAATAAAGTGTATCTAAAAAAATAAAGAATAAAATTACTTAAAATTTGAAATATATTAACTAAAAACAAAATAAAATATGAAAAATAAAAAATTCATTTTTCAAGAAATTGAATTCAAAAAATTAAAATCAAATACAGTAATTTATTTATTCACACAAAAACCTCCGCTACTCTTGTATGGCCCGAATGACATGGCACCGTTCCAACACACACACACACACAAAAAAAAAAAAAAAAAAAACCCCCCCCCTTTTTCCCCCCCAAAATTTCAAACTCATTCTCTCTAAACCCTCTCTATCTCCTCTCCTCTCTCTCAAACAAACTAGTAGAGAAGATGGAGCCAACGCCAGAAACTCCTCCTTATCGAGCCGATGCCAGAGTGCCCTCCTCTCATACGCCAGAAACTCCTCCTTATCGAGCCGATGCCAGAGTGCCCTCCTCTCATACTGCTCACTGAAAGCCAGGAGCGGGTATCAACCTATTGGCATGTCTAGCCTAGCCTTATTTTTTTAGGATTTGAGAAGGTTGTATTAATCATAAGATCGAGCTAAACTAACATTTTTAACCCAATATATTAATGAGTTGCATTTGAGATTTATATTTTTAACTTGGCTGACCCGACTCGCTATTAAATTAATTAATTAATTAATTATAATATGTGTGTGTGTGTGCGCATTTTTCCAAAATGATAGAAGAGTATATAGATATAAAAAAGTTTAATAATATTTGAGAGTTCTAATGCAACTCTAATGATGTAAAGAGTGTCCATGTGAAGGTGAGACCCACACTCCTCTCTCTATCGCTCTTTATTCTCTCTCTTCCACCTTACTAGTTCTATTTAAAGTTCGAATATTAGAGCTATGTATCATAACTGAAAAAAGTTAATGTCCCTCTTAATCCTTCTCTAAGACACTAGAAAGCCACTTTGGACGATATTGTTCCCAAGTCAAAACACCTCTCATTGCATGTTGCGCCAAACAGTGAGCTATGCCATTCGCACTTCGTTTAACAAAGCTCATCTCCCATGAATCACATTTGTAGGATCTAAATTTTATCTTTATTAATTTTATTAAAACTCATATTTGTGATAATGTATGATTGAATTTATTTAAAAAAATCTTTCAATTTATAATGATATCAGTATATTTATTTAAAAAATATAATATGTGATTGAATTTAATTATGAAATGTTTTAAATTCTTTTTTTAACATAGTCCGATGAGTGGGTTTGGGACTTATAATTATTTCTTCAACCAGACTTAAGCAAATATAGAGGCTCGATCTTAGAGTTGGGCTCTATGTGATTAGAAAACGCTAATACCCTAGCAAATTACGTATTGATATACACATTCCGAAACATTGTATAATTTTATTCCAAAATAATAAATTTAGTGATCCAAAACAATCTCAAGAGTTTTCCAATATATTTCCTTAAATGCTACATTATTAGGGGAAAAAAATAAAATATAATGAATTAAAATCTTATCTATGTATATATATATTATTAGATGTCTAATAGTTAAAACAAATTACTCTAGAAATACCTTAAATTCTTAAGTGTAATATATACAAGTCTACCCCTATCTTACCATATTTTGGAGCATGTAGTGTGCCACGTTCCCATTCCTAGTCGACGTACCAGAACGACCCACGTTTCAAGTAATATAGGTCGAGCTAAGCTTAGAACATTTGACGTAAAGACAGAGTAAATTGGATATCCATGTTGGTCTTCCACCAATGCAAGAACCAAGGAAAAACCACAGGGTTTGGTTTGAAATAGGCCAAGGTGAATTGGGCCGAATCCTCACACAAAAGTTTGCAAATTCCCCAATTATGAATTGAGAAGCCTTCAGGTCTCTGGCATACAACTTGGGGTTAGTGGATGCATAGTAAAGAATAGAAATAAGTTGAATTAATCCAAACTATCTAGCAAACTAGGCAGCGCAGTAGGATTCAGCTATGCATTTGTAAGCCTTGGGGTTTAGAATCCTAATAAAAAGCTCCCTTATAGTGAGAATGGATACCCAACACTCTTTGTAGCCCTATCATTACATTCTTTACCTGCCAATAAAGCCCTGAGCCATTGAGGCCCATAGGAAGAGTAAAATGTGTAAAGAATTCTGAATTTGGGTTTAGGGAAGTGTAAGGAAATATCGGAAAAAGTATTTAAATGAAGAATTCCAAATGTTTGCTCTAGCATAAAGCTTTCCATTGATGGTAGGGTTTACATTCTCATGATAGCTGAGGAGGGTAGTTCAAAAGTTTGGAAACTATAAAAAAAAAAAAAACCACAATTGTAGGATCCAGAATGAACCACCTAGGTTGGGGTCCATGGGATTCTCACAAAAAGAATAACAAGCCGTATAAATATGGCCAAGGAGGAAGGGAGCAAAAGAAACAAGTTTTCCTAAGGTGAGTGCCTTGGCCAAATGAATGAATTATGTGATAAGCTTTTGTGATGTTGTGCACTTGACAAATTTGTATAACCAATAAATAATAAAAGCAAAAAGATCTTTGTCACTAACAAAACCATTCTCTTTATTGCTTTTACCTTGAAATGTGGAGTAAGAAGGGTTGTTAGAAGAAAATTTTTGAGAAACTGTAACCAGCCCGGGGGACCTCGCTACAGCTCGGACTCGATTTGTAGTCACGGTTCTAAGTCTGAACCAAAGAGTCCAAATCCGGCAAATCGTTTTGAGAAAAACAGATTTTTTTTTAAAGAAGTGCCAAACATGGACTGCTTTGCCAGATACAGAGTCGCCACCTAAATGTTTTTTAATGGGAAATTTAGGAAACCCTGACTCGGTGCCAAAGGCCACGTGTCCGTCATCACCAAAGTTGCCTCGGCTCGGGAACTTGGGTACGATTGGGGAAGGTCACTTCGTGAGCACCCCCGCTCGCCCGATCAAAGATCGGCCTCTACTAACCATGATATATATTTTTGAAAACTTTGTGTGTCCTTAAACCAGTTATTAGCCTAGGTTACTATGTGATGCACACAACATATAAGTATAGACTGTAGCATACAGTATGACAACATGTTTGCATCATTCATCTATTTTGCACCCACCGGGCTCGGCGCATCAGACTAACTGCATT